GTATGTGCTATTTATTGTTCGAGCCTGATGCCGTGCTTGCTACTATACTCGAGTGTGTGAATGCTTTTGAGTCTAACGGAGTTAGACTTAACTGACGTAAGTAGATGTGTACGATGGCATTGTAAAAATATCTTTCAGACATGGTAAAAGTGATGCCAGTGTTGGATTTGCCTCCTTATATCAGGATTTTCAGGGCACAGAACAATTTGCATCCTGCTGTAGCCTTCTTGCAGACAGGAAGAGCAAACATCATGACCACTGCACATTATGTTATTGATCTGGTTTTATTGATATGAGTTCTCTGATTTGTATTAAATGGGTTAGGCCCTTGTACCTCAGTCCAGGAAAGCATTTACTTGTATTTCACCAAGAGCAAGTAAGCAAAATAATTTTTTTGTCGATGGTAATCTCTTTTCACTAAAGCTGGATTTTTGTATTGCTGTTTGTCAGCCTTGAGACTTTAATACATTGAACAGCGAGTATCAGCATCCAAATGCCAAGTATACATTACTGTGGAATTAGGCAATCAAGCTTACTACTGAAACAGGTTCTGGTTTTTAGGTGGCTGGATCAGGGGCAGGATGATGGCAATATTGCTAGAGAACTGGCTGTGACAGATGCCAGCACACTTCCAGGAAGTAAGTGAAAACCGGTGAGGAGGGGAACTCAGCCTCACTGTAACTGTGTCAAATGGAATGAAGAAACTCTGTAAATTAACTACACTGTTTTTGTCTGCACAGGACAAGAGCTGGAACTCAAGAGAGAAGAAACTGTAAGAATGTACTTTTTTATTTTGATTTAAAACATTCAAATTATGCTTTGAGTGAATCAGGTCAGTTGAATGCTTTGTATGATAAATTCCTGTGTATCATCTTCTCGTAAGTCTTTTGTGTTTGTTGTTTACAAAACTAGTGGGCTGCTGAGAAGTGGAAATTTCAGAAAGGAAATACACTTCAATTTTACAACAGGCTCACCCATGGCTTCATTTGCCTCAACCCAGATAGCAGAGTGGATGCTCTTGGTGACAAGAAAAACAAATATGGTAAAGTATTTTTTATGTGGATTTTTGCATAAAAGAAACAAGAAAGGAGGACTTTAATATAGATATTACTATAATGAATAGGAGTAGATAATTATAAAACTCAAAATTGTCCTTACTCAAAATATTAATACATGTATTAATCTGTGTATTAATGGCTATAAGAACTCAGAAATTACATGTCTATTTTACATAAAGATGACACACACATAAAAATTCTCATATAGTGTCTTGTCACTGGCTTTCTCTTACTAAAGAGAAACTTTTTGTCGTCTGCAGTTTAGTGCTCCCACAGAACTCACATGGCAAGAACAGTTACTGTCTTTTGCACCTAGATCTATCTAAGCTAACAAATTCGAAATTCTAGGTGTGGTTCATTAACAAGGAGTATATATATTTATTTGTGTGTGTGTGTGTGTTTACATATATATGTAAATTCATTTTATTCTATTCTTGTAATTGATTTTAATGGTAGTCTACCAGTTCCTCCCCTTTATCAGCTTTCATCCTACTGCATTACTAACTTGTAAAACATATCATATTAGGCACACATATTTTGCTACCTTTTTAGTGCTCAGCCTTTCTGACATCTTCCCAGGGTCCTTACACAGATCTTTTGGGAAAGAATAGAATCTTTCAGGACATGCCAAAGAGTGCATCAGGACACCACAGGAGTCCTCTAGAGACAGCTGCATCCAACAGATAGGCAACATAATGTACTGGTAGTTACTTAAAAGATCATCTGTTGTTGCTGGGAACAATAAAAATGGTACTGCTTCACCTTTCATCAGTATTTTGTAGCTATAAGAGGTAATTGTTTGGAAAATTGGCCAGATTTAAAATTTTAGAAGCCTTGAGCTACACTACAGGATTTGCTTTACAAATTATAACATGGATATTGAGAAAATGAATTCTCTTTTCTTACTTGAGAGCTTTATGTTCCCTACATCATCTGTTATTTATCATCTAAAGTCGTTGCTATAGCCCAGTTCACTATGCTGGAGTTCTCAGCTCCTTTTTATGGATTTTTTTTTAAACATATATGATGATAAAAAGAAATTTGTTCCTTATCATTAGTCGTCAGGGTTTTCCTCCTCAAGGCAGCAAAATAGACAGCAGTCCTTAGATGCCCTTTCCTGAATGAATGAGAGAATTTATTGATCAGAGAGGTCAAGCTGTGGAGTTAAACACTTAATTAATTCTTTTCCCTTGAAAATGATAAACCATTGATTGTAATTAAATGCAAGTATGAATTAATATACTTTCATACTTCTAACCTTTTTTTTTTTCACTTAACTCTTAGGTTTTTTTGATGTAAATGTCAAAAGGAGAAATATCTATATGTTCAGCAGTCATCAGATGCCACGTCTTGCTCTCGCTCTTGTCAATGGCCATGTAACTGGAAAGGTAAGAAATGCTGCTACTGATTTCTGTTTCATAGTTACATGTCATCGTCTGATTAAAAATAAAGTTTTTTTAAATCTGTCTAGTAAATAATTGTATTTCCAATCAGATGAGTGAAAGATTGCAGAATTAAATCCAGGAAATTGCCAATGAATTGGTGAATTTAGACAAAAGGCTTTGTTTTCTCACAGTTTACTTTTTACTCTTTTGTAGGGTATATTAACTAAATGATTTGCTGCAGGAATACCAGACCATTCCAAGCTGTCATTTTTATTGTCTTGCCACATACTGACAAGCTACCTGGAATGCCCTAATATCTCCTGTTATTTGGATAAGCATAAAATCTACAGCTTGATTTAAAATGTTCATTTTTTCTTTGTGTCTTTTCTAAGTAACATGCCAGTCATAAAGTGATTGATACAGTCCAGGGTTTGTTTTGATCCATTTTGATTTGTTTCATCCCATCTTCCAAGTCTTACTATTGCCTTTTTTCTCATCACTTGCAGTATGCAAGTAGGTAAATGGAGCTGTAGGATTTAGTTCCTTCCTTATGATCATAGAATCATAGAATATCTTGAGTTGGAAGAGACCCAAAAAGATCATCAAAGTCCAGCTCCTGGCCATACACAGGACAGCCCCAAGAGTCACGCCATGTGCCTGAGAGCATTGTCCAAATGCTTCTTGAACTCTATCAGGCTTGGTGCTGTGACCACTTCCCTGGGGAGCCTGTTCCAGTGCTCAACCACCCTCTGGGTAAAGAACCTTTCCCTAATATCCAACCTAAACCTTCCCTGACACAACTTCATGCCATTCCCCTGGGTCCTTGCTTTTAAGTAGACAGTTTTTTGAATATGAAACTTTTTCTTCAGAAGGTAGTGCCTTGGAAATTAAAAATTTTCCTAGGAATATTTATTCTTTGAAGTCTTAAAAATGCTGAAAAATTATTAGATGATGTTAGTCAGAAGTGCTTTCAGTTATTGGAGTTATTATTAGCATTTTACATGGATTAAAATTCTAGTTTTATTTAAATATGAGAATGATGTTTGAGTTGATAAAATATTTAAATATGTATTTTTTCTATTATGTATTTTATACAATGGGATCATAGAGTCTTCAAACCTGAACAGACAAGCATGGAGACTGTGTTGCTTTACTTTTTCGTATAAAACTTCTGACTCTCTAAGGGTTTTCTCTGAGAACAATACAGATGAATGAGGACTCAGAGGCAAGAGAAGATGGGCTGGTGGCCAAGACTTACTGTGGTTCATTTCCTGTCTATGTCAGTTTTATACTTCTTTGCCATGTTTATCAACTGTGACTCTAACTCTCTCTAATTGAGGCACCCAGGTATCTTTCGTGTTATCATCAGATCTGTGTCCTCCCACAATGAGCTGTTTCTGTGAAATTTCACAGAGTCCACAATTTAGGCCTTAAGCATTAGGATTGCAAACCTGAGAAATATAAAAATTTTTGTACTAGACTGGTAGTATGGTTGGAACTCAATATAAAAACTACATTGCGATACTCTCTATTTTGGATTAGTTCATCTAATTTATTATTCCTCCTTTGACTACACTAGAGCAAAGACAAGGCATGCTGTAAGCTCCGTGTTCACCTTCAACCAAATGGTTGTGCCATTCTTGAGTCAGCCAGCTACCCAGGTCACATTGTGACTTTCAATCTTCAAGGAGAAGTAGCTGACAAAACAACAGGATATGCTGGGATTTCCAAAGAGTTTGTTGTGCATGTCAAGGTAAGGTGGGCAGAGGGAAATTAAGAAGACGCTTCTTAAATTTGCTATTATAAAGCAGACTGTATCTAGCCAAGTGTCAGAGGTTTGCAAGCTAAAAGACTGATCCTCTTCCACGAGGTGGAGCTCAACTACAGCTTAACAGGTAGGCAGCACTTGACAAGTTCTCCTTTACTGCTCTCCTGGGACGAGTGATGCCGATACTGCAGCTGGTACATGCAAATTGAGTGGGCTGTAACCCAGGAAAGATGATATTATAAACTTCCTAGTAGAGCTTCGAAAAATAGGAATGTAGGTACACGCAGGAGAGCTGCTGTTGGGAAGAGACAAGTTCCTTAATTCGCCGCACTCCTTGTGCTCTGGGTGTTGTGCTGTGCTGTGCTGCTAAGCAAGAAAAAGGAGGGAAGCTGCTGAGTAGGAAAGGATTTCCACTATTCTGGTTAATGCCTGCACAGAAAGCAGCAAATGTTCAAAGACTGGAGGTATACTTGAGTTACTTGAGACTAACTCTTTTATGTTGTAAGTGCATGAGTAAGTGCTTAAAATAAAACAGTAGGAGCAATATCAGTATCACAGTTTAGTATGGAGAAAGGCTGTGCTATTCACAAAGGACTTCTTGCCTCTGATCTAAAGGGTGTGTTTCATCATGGTGCCATCATTCTGCTCAACACAAGTCTCTGCCAGGCTCTGTCCCTTAGACCTGATGGGAGCTGCAGTGGAGCAGGTCAGAAGCAGCAGGAATCCTACTGGAAGGTGCATAAAATTGGCTCTGGACTCTGTATGTTTGAAAGTGTGAGAAAACCAAGAATGTATCTGAAGATCAAAGATGACCAGTGTGATGGAACAGTAAGCAGTTCTTGTTTGTATTTCCCTCTGCAGATAGTTGGAGTAAATTGTTAGTGGTAGGAGAGAATCATTTTTACCTGGTTGGATAAAAATGAGATAAAACTTTTTTCAGATTTAAAATGTTTCATGTATTTTCCTTCATTTGCCCAAGAAAAGATAGAAAAATATAGCAAGAGAAGCTGTCGGTGTCAATATGGTAGTTGATTGTAAAGATCTGATTATATTTTTAAACTATTGAGGATGTGGATGTAGTTAAAACTTATGTGCTGCAAGATAGATGATGAAGATAAAACCTATTAAAGAATAATTAAGATGTAAGTAAATGCATACTGCACTGAATTTTAAAGTGTGATTCTGTTCATCTAAGTTAAAATTCTCATATTTATGTGAGAAGTATTCTCGCATCATTTTTTTGGGGAGTTTAAGATAAGTGAGTATGAAACAGAGCTGTGTAAGTACTCAAATGTGAGGTCCATGAGAGTTTTGTCATTGACTCCAGTACACTTTGTTCAGAGATTAAAATATTTGATCCATATTTTGAATGTAGGCTTTGCAAGTATCTTATTTTTCAGCAATGCTTTCACCAATGGATCAGGAGGTCTGGATAAAAAGAGGGTTTGGGTAAAGGTTTTGAAATTAAACTTGTAAGTGCTATGAACTTGAAAAAAAAGTTACATCTATTTAATGGATGTTATATTATGTAGCATTACCAAATCTGTGCTATCTATAAAATCTGTATATAAATACCATATGTTTTCTGAAATAAATATTTTCACATTCCTTAATCCTCTGAAAGTTGTTGAACTGGGAAACTCCTTTGAATATATCCTAGAATTTGCCTAAATTCTAACATAAATCAGAATGCTTTCACTTGGTCCTTCACTTACCTAACTTATGTAATTAGTCTTTCTGGTCACAAAGGAATAAACAAGAATAAGGTGCAGGTATGCATGTAATAATGTAGCATGTTGTGAGGAATGTAAAGTTAATCTGAAATGTTATTGGAAAGTAGTAATAATTAAGACTTAAGAAACATCTAGCTCCTGTAGCTACATGAATTCGATTGTTTTATTTATGTTTTTGTTTTCAACTTCTTAGGGCACAGGTGATGAATACTGTCACTTTAAAATTGAGAAGAATTTGGAAACTGGATCTATAAGCCTAGAATCAGTGCAAAATAAAGGGATATATGTTGGTCTCCTGCCAGATGGCCAAACTAAACCAGTTGTTAACACTGGAGAGAGAAATATTTTTTTCTACCCACAGGTCATCAAATGTATGTGATTTCTCAATGGTTTGTAGTTTGATTTAGAGATTAGTCTTTCTAATTTTCTAACAAAATTCAAAGCAAAAGTGTAAAAGTTATGTGGGCACAATTTTCCTTGTTGTGTTTCAGTAATTTTAAAAGTTTACTGTATGTACACTTAATTTCTGCCATGTATTTAGTTACCTTTACTTTCTTTTTATAATAATAAATTATGCAGAAGATATCAATAGTTTTACTAATAGATTTTTGAAAATGAGAATCAAAATAAGTGAAAAGATAGAGATGGAGTTGATTCCTTGCGTGTATTCCCCATTCTGCCCACAGATTATGGAAGCCTGGGGGATGTTGTCTTGCTACCAGGTGTACCATAATCTTTCCTGATTTTATAGGGGAATTAGTAGTCTTTCAAGAGGACCTACTTGGCAATGTTCAGTTTCTTTTTTAATGATGTGAAATATATTGTAGTCCCCCACACTAGTATATTCATTATGCCATTCTGTCCCATAGTCAGATTTGAGAGCTATTGTGGTCAAAATGCTTCCTCACTGGGGAGCTCACCTTTTCTAGTCAACTAGCTAAGACTCAGAAATTATCTCTCAGCACACTCTGGGTCACTGTCCCTGGATTGCCTGCTTGTCTTTTCTCCTGCAAGAGAATGACGTTTCTAATTTGGTGAAAAATTGGTTACCAAAGATAACCAGTTAACTGAGATTATAACTGCAGGGAGTTCTATTCTACATAAAACATATTCTTATCTGGTGGACATGACTACAGAGATCAAGAAATGAAACATCTCATGGAAAGGCTAAACTGGACATCAGTTTGAAACTGAGAAGCTGGTCAGATTTTTTCCAAACACAAGTGGAACAAGCTTATCCTGAATGCAAAGAGAAAGTATCAAAACATACAACTAATCTTACTAATTGCTCTATGTGTATTGTGATCAAGACACAGAGAAGCCTTATGAAAGTCACTGCAATGGCATTCCTACTGTTCAGTCTCTATTTGCTGCAAGGTGAAAAAAATATTTTGATCACTGTGTCCTCGTAGAAATGAGGAAATTATTTTCCCTTGTTAGATTTTGGAAAAACAGTGTTTTTGATAGAAATGTCACAAAATAAAGCTAAATGTTACTTTGTTACAGGCTTCAGCTCTTCTGAATCCTTGTTGTCCAGTAAAAGGAATATAGAAAGGAGCTAATATTTTCTATGACAGCAATACATATTTTCTGTTTGCTTCATCTTAACAATATCAATTTGCTTCATATTATTCAAATGGCCTCTAGCAGTTTTCATTTCAGCATTCCCACTCTTAAGAAAGGAAACATCGTGGAGGTGGAGAAGTTTATTTTGAGGAAAGCTACATTTTAACAAGTCATTTTATTCATACATCATTGTTAAATTTTTACTTAGATTTTCAAAGCATGGAATGGACTTTAATTGGCATGCCTGATTTTTTTTCCACTTCTTGTGGCATTCTGCTAACAATAAAATCCTATTGCTTCTAGCTGTGCAATATATAGAGAAAAGATTTTGATATCTACTCTGTTGAATAATAATGAGATCTTTTAGTAGTTTCTGAGCAAGAAAAAGCAAACGGCTTGTAGCTAGTGACAGAATTTACATTTCATTGTTTTAGTTGGCCGGGAAGAACCTATGGGAACCTCTGCAGCACCCAATCAAGAGAAGAAAGACTTCAGAGAATCTCAACTCCAACCAGGAAAAGCCCAGAAGCTGGTATCTCAAAGCCCTTCAACTCCCCCATCCTCCAGTAAGTGACAGGTTACAAACTAGTCGTGATACAGCATGGTGTTAAGCCTGCTTTCTGTACATGCTTGCAGACACTTATCTCAAGAAGGACAATGAATGACTTTTCTAGATTGTTGAATCATGCAGGCATACATGCAACATAAAACACATTGCCAGTCATTGTTTTTTTAAGAGGATATTTGAATATGGTTTATTGAAAAGGCAGCAATCAGTAAATTGAATAACTTTGCATTACTTTTTTTTCCAAGGAACTAGTAATCTATCTGAGGACTATTTCCGTGGAAATTAAGGGGTTGTTATGGTGCAGAGGCCAATATAAAGCTTGCTGAAAGTAATGGAATATTTCTTATTTATACTGTCTCGCACACTCATGTTTTCAGCTTTTTGGTTCACTGGAGGAAAGAAGATGACTTTGGTTCATTGCATTCTAGCTTTATACCTATGTTTTGGCAGGTAGGAACAGATAAAAGTTCTGGTCATCCTTCTGGAGTGATGTGTTTTTTTAGAATAAACTGCTTTCTTCTATAGCTACATATTGTGGTTTAGAAGTAGCATAAAAGGTCTAAGACAACAGTTTTAGAAATATTCATCATCGTAGTAACAAAACAAAATGTAATTAAGGAACTACACACCTAAACAAAACAGGGAATGATAAATCTCTTAAAGAGTGAGGATGGTTAAATCCCAGACATAGGTGTGAATCATTATCAATTACTGTTATTTATTTCTGGCAATGTTGTTTCCATTTTTAGCTCAAAAACACCCACTTTCTAATCTATCAGAGTTCATCTTGTATCACTGTGTCTCTAAGCCTTCCCAAAGTGTTGTGGGTTGTCAGCAAGTGATGAGATATGCTGTGTCCAAAACACATGGCAACAATACACAACCCATTTAACCTGTTTTCAAAGCAGCTGGATGTTTTTAGGGTTGGATACAAAGGATCCTTTTGTAAAAGCAATATCTGCAGTGAAATTGGTTACATAGAGTCTATAGCACTTTGTAAGTAGTTTTTCTGGCATTCATAAATGTGGACTGTGCTTGTGCTAAATAAATAGAAATATCAAAGGTACTCTGCCCTTCCAAGAAAATGGTCATTTTTAGTAAGATATTTTCACTCAAAATACTTTAAAGGTAACTATCTTTTGTTATGTACAGCTGAACCTTGATTTTTAAACTCATATTCATTAAATTCTCATTTGCTTTTTTTACTCCCAGTTAGCATTTGAAAAAGGGTGATGTTTGTACTGAGTATACAGTCCAGCAGTAGGTTTAGCAGTCGAACTCAGGGCAAATTAAATCCATCATTTTTATGTCTGTGTCTGCTAACCTGTGTTTTGGTTTCTGTTTTCACAAATAATAATTGATTTAGGATTAATTGAACTGGAAACTGCTACAGTAGTTGGGGCTTCTCCTGTTGCAGTATGAGTGCAATGTTCCTCAAGAAACTTCTTTCACTGTATAGAGAGGATGTCAGGTCACAGCTTCTACTTAACAGCTCAGGTGTCATTAGCTTCCATGACACAAAAGCAGTCTGTGACCTCGAGAACATCTCTGTGGTTTAGTATTAACAAAATGTACCTCTGAGAAATGCTCTCTATATCCTCTGTGTTCCTTTCCTGTATGCCTGGTGTACTATTAGATGCTGTTAATTTTTTAATATATTTTACTTACAAGAGCAAATAAGAATCAAATAAAATCTGATCTCATTTCCACTCAGTTAACTTTGGAAAGAATGATACACACAGGTATAATAGAAATACATCAAGTTTATTGCCCAAACTTTTGCTCTAGAGATTAATTTTTCTGATGGTTCATTTTAAAAGTGTCACTCAATCAAATGGTATTCTGAGACAAAATAATTTTCTTTTTATGTTAGATTTAGGATAAGTAAATTTAAAAAAAGGTTATTTTTATGAAATAATGTGTGGAGGGTTGTGACTTCATCATTGTCATGCAGGCCTATCAGAATGAATTTTTATTGCAATAGATTTACAGCATGGTGTCATGAAGTGCGTAAACTCTCATGACTAATGCAGGGTAACCATCAAATCCTCTTTTCAGACAGTAATATTTTTAGCCTGTAGCAAATCAATGCAACCAATTTCCATTTTTAAGAAGAACCAGTAAATTATGAGGTAAAAAGCATTCTAAGTCTGTGAATTGTTTATGCATTAAAATTATTCCAAGTGGTAGTAGTTTGAGGTTGCAGTAACTGCTTTGGGTAGCAGTCACCAGAGTATGGATTTCTCATCCCAAGCACATGGAGTAGCCTGGGATTCCTTATGTTTCTTGAATATCTGTGCATTTTATGAACCTTTTAATCTCTTTGCTGTAAGAAAGATGTGGTTTTAGATAGCTGGAAGGAACTCTAGCTTTCTGAGTTACAAGTAAGAAGTTAGGTAACTAAAGTTACAGAAAGTTGTATAGTCAAATTCTCAAAAATATTTCTTATACCAAAGCAATTACTTTGTTGTAGTTCCACTATTTCAATTTTTAAGAAGAAAGAAAAAAGCATTTGCTTAATATCATAAAAGTGCATTTGAGGAAATTTAAAGGGAACATGAAGTATTGAATCAATGCTTCTTCACTTACCCAATTTGCTTCAGCAGTGATTCATCAAGATGTGGGATTTATTGCTCATAAAAGTTTATTAAGAAGCAAGTCTCAAGGATTCAAACTTATTTTTTAATGCTAGCAACAAAGCAGAGTCAGATAAATTTTGCAAATTTCCATCATAGGTATTGCTTTATTTTTTTAGTATTTGTACTGGGCTTGGCTGGGATGAACCTTATATTCTTCCTAGCAGTCTGTCTGATGCTGTGTTTTAGACTGGTAACCAAAGCAGTGTTGATAACACACCAGCGTTTCAGCTGCTGCTGAGCATCACTTGCAGAGCAGAGTCCATCCATCTCTGCTCACTCTGCGCTAACCCCAACTGACCAAAGAGATATTGTCCCTTATATTGTCATGCTCACAAATAGAACTGGAGCAGAGTTTTTTCAAAATAGTCATTCCTCTGGGACTAGTTGGGTATCATTCTACTGTTAGTGAGTGATAGCTTTTGCATAGTTTGGGAATTTTTTTTTTGTTGTTGTTTTGTTTTGTTTTGTTTTGGGGTTTTGTGTTTTTTTTTTTGTTTTTTTTACTGTAGGTTTGTTTATTTGTTTGTTTTTTCCTTTGATGTAACGGCAGTTTAATAAGTCAAGGGAAAAACTCCATCCCAGAGAAACCCAGTGCAGTATTTTAATCAAGCAAATAAAAAAAAAGACTCTAATAGCAGTACATAACTTATGTAGTGCAGCAGAAACATGCACAGTGATGTTTTGGGAATTCTTCAACAAATTTATATTGGTGGCATATTAAAAAGTCTCTTTACAGTCACATGAAAAGGAGTTCTCAAATTGAACAGTTTGGGAATCCCTGGAGGACACAGTATATAGACAATGTGTAAGTTCATCTTTTCAGATTTAGGATTTATACCTGCCTCCCGTGTCAGAATAGACTATAAATTCTTGTCAGCAAGTACTCCCTTTTTTGGAGAGCATTCCATGGTCAGTGGTTTAGTTATTCAAAAGTACTGTTCCAGCCATCTGATCTTTGTAAACTCCACTTTGACTAGAATACTCAAACCCAATTCCTTTAGACTAACAGAATCTGTTTTTTCATATCTCATATGCAGAGGTATAATTTGACATCTCTGCATATATATATATATTTCTCTTAAAGGTAGATAGAAGACCACTAGGTGCTATTCTAAAGTGAAGCCTATGTTTTCCAAAATTATATTTGCTCAGCCGTTAAAGCTGTGAAATTTATTCATAAAGTGGTTCTGTGCTGTTATTGTCTCATTCATGTACAGCCTGCCTTAGATCAAATGTTGGCACTGTATGCATAAGTGTGGTTAGGCAAGGATATATTGATCTCCTTTTTGATTTATTTTACAGTATTTAGTTAATATTTAACTTGAAGAAAGTTAATTTCCTGATTTTTTTTTTAAATTTGAAATGCAAATTGTCTCTATTCCCAGATATGTGACTCTGCTAATCATGTCCCAACACAAGGCATTAGAGGAGTAATTCTATTAATTTCTAAATGCCAGACTAAGGAAACAGAAATGTCAATTTAATGGTCATAGTTCTGCATCATAGCATCCTTACTCTACTCCAGAATATGTATAAAGACTATGATGATAATGCATGCGAGAGATAACTTATTATTTTCCAGTTGATTCTTGTTGCTCAGCTAATCAGCACATTTTGGTCTAGACAAGAAACATAAATCAATCTTTTCAGACTGTCTCACTTGCCATGAAAAAATACAATTCCCCTGCTGTTATGGCCTCTTTATGTACTGAAGTTACAACAGCAACTGGAAGTTTCATGTCAATTTTTGTCTCCCACAAATATTCTGTATTTCACAGAGGAAATGAGCAATCCCCAAGGTGGTGAGCGTTCCCTTCCTTCAGATGATGAATGGAAAGTGTCAATACTGACAGGAAATGCAGGAACTGAAGCGAATGTTGCTCTCTGGATATATGGAGACAGGGGAGTAGCTGGACCAATAACTCTTGGCGAGGACAACAGGAAGCAGCTGTTTCTTCCCAGGCAGGAAGACGAATTTCAGGTAGCTAATGAAGGCTAAGAACATTATTTTAATGTAGACCTTTCCAAGGATTATTCTGTCATGTGAAAAGAAAAAATGTTTTTCTCCTATATATATACTGTATAAAATAAATCTGTATCTAATCTCCATGAATTGTGTATTAAATCAGCTTGTTATATATCATAAGCAATGGAAGAAATACGCTTTCTTTTAAAGCCCCTCTCTCATATAGTTGACCAAAGGAGATAACTGCAGAAGTACATTGATTTCTTTAAGGCAATTAATTTGAAACTAGCTTTAAAAACTATTCATTTCTAGACGAACCGTGCCTGATGTAAGACTAGCATATCATTTAGTAATTAAATCTTCAGGTATACAGTTTTCAAAGCATACTATAAAATGTATGCTGTGGAACTGGTTCAATTAAGGAAGAAAACCCTTTTTAGACCTGCCATATTATAAATGACCAAAGGGCCAGATTTACCCATGGAACAAGTAAGAGTCCAATAAAAACTACATTTGATCATGTAATGAAAACTCAGGGTTTATGCTATAATTTAAGGATAACCCTACCTCTACTGTAATGAGGAAATTGTGTCTAGGTAGGCTGAGAGGAAATTACCAAAGGCATTAAAATTTATGTTTTGCTTAGATCTTTCTGTCTGAGATGCATGTAACATTGCTGTCCTCAGCTAGCTAAAGCAGAAGTTACATTCTTCACATTTTTTTTCTGCACTCCTCAACTCCTCTAATAAAAACTTGGCACAACCCAAGATTGTTAATGTCAATAATATTAATAATAATGCTCTCTATGAATAGGGCATAGGCAGGAAGATAACCTATCATAAAGTTCATTTTCTGAGTATATAGGCTATATATTATGATCCACAGTCAATCTTGTTCTCCTAATTAGTAAATAATTTATAAGCAATTTTGGGTAATGGCATGTTTGCAAAGTTAATCCATACATTCTGAAGAGATGGACCAATTTCTCTTCTCTAAAATAGATATGGTCCATTATGGCTGTATGCTGCAGATATTGATCTTGTGAGAGAGCAGAATTTTTCTCTCAGCACCTGGAGCTACTGCTATGATTCTTTACATCACCCTGACACTATTGCTTTCAGGCAGGAAATAGCAAATGTCACTGAAATGCTTTTCACTCTTTAGTCTGAAGTAGATAAAGAAAGAAAGAAAAGGCCCATGAGTAAGAGCCCTTTCTTCTATTTTTTCTCTTTAAGCTTTGTCCTGTACTTGTTTAACAGAATAGGTCTTGAAATGAGGATAGGAATGTAAGACATAAAAAAATTTTCATCTTCTTCTTCTTACCATTTCCATAAACTTGGTATGTTTTCACTGATATATTCTAGAGCAGAAGATACCAAATTTTATTTTTCAACCTAGTCAACTTAATTGTAGCTCTGGCCAGGAGTTATAGTAAGAAAGCAGTTTCTGAAAGGCTGTAATAAGACAATTTGGAATCGGTGTAAAAATCTTTAACATTTCACTTTATCAGTAATATGCCCAACTATGAAAAATTTGAGTAGAACTATCTTGAGAAATGAAAACCATTCATATATGACCTTCCCTTTCTTACCTTACCCATGTAAGTAGTCATTGCCTGTCTAATCCTTCTTAGGATTGTACATGAGAAAAATCAAGCTTACTAGAGTGTTTCTTCTGGAAGACCTCTACTTGTTTGAGGCAGAAATCACTCTTTTCATTCTGTCAAAGTCCACTACATTTTGTTTTGTGTTGATACATGAAATTATCATGCAACTCTAAATTGTCATGTAAGAATAAACAGACAATATGATAACATTGTATATTCAGTGAACACCTGCTCTGTGAATGAGAAGACCACATCCCATATTATTGAGAACTGGGTTAGTTTTTTTGTGAAATGGGGAAAAAGACAATAGCTGTTTTTCAGTCAAGCTGAATATATACCCTTACTTTACTACTGCTTGAATCCCAAAGTCTCCGGGTCACCTCTAATAAGACTACTTTTAGAGAAAAATGTTATGCAGCATAAGCAAGGCTATCAGAATCTGACTTGACAGAGCAAAACAAAGTTAATTTTTTAATCCAGCGGTAAAGAGGGAATATATTGTCACATCAGTGTTGCATTTATTTTGCTAATGAAATTTTGTTAATGAAATTCAAGTTGATGTAACAACTATACCAATACAAATAGCAGGTGTTAAACCCACAGATTCTTTCTCAAACAACCACTGAGAGATTTCCATATGCATTTCAATGTTCAGGAAATCGAAGTTAAAAGTTGTTTGGTTTCAGAACTCTTTGACTAAAGCATGGCAATGCTGTGACTATAATGCGAAAATTTATTATACAGAAGCGCGAAAAGCCAAAAGCTGATATAGGAAATGAGGTAATTCTGACCTCTGAAAAGAGAAGAACACTTTTTATTAGTGAAGATAAAGACTGGGTTGATAATGTGCTAGTATGTGTTTCTAAGAGAATGAAAACAATTTTTGTACAATGTAAATAGGATGTAAATGATGGAGAGGAATAGGCTGTTACCAACTTTTTATGAATAGAATTATTATTTGAGAAATAGCACGATAACACACTTTTCCTTTCGTAGCAGTACCTTACAAAAGATCTAAAATTATTTATGTTTGCTTTAAATAATGGTTAAACTTCAAAGTGGGCGTTCATTTGAAGTTTTGAAGATAGAGTTGCTACTCTATGTTAGTTTTCATAAGAGCACATATAATGCTTGAAAGTGCAAAGAAAATGTGAATGAATACAAATCATAGTCAGAAGGAAAAGGTAGTATTGGTGACTTCCAAAGTTCTGCAGATGTTCTGCCAGCTTTTGGGAGCTTACTCTTTTTATATCCTTCATTTTGACATACTAAGGTTTATGGTGATATTACTGTGTTGCATTATGAAAGATTTGTGACCTGTAGTTTAGAGGATATAATTTTGTATTCCTTGTTGCTCTCATGAATGACCCTCACCAACTTTTTGTACTCTTCAAACTTTGGAGAGTTCAAATATCTGCCAAATCATTTTCCTGGCAAGCATCATGGTTCCACTAGGCTATGTCTGGTCAAACTGGGGCTCAGACAGAAATCTGCTCAGACAAAACATAAGCAGTCTCTTTTCTGGATCCTGTACCCCAAAATCTGTCAATCAAATCTTATGTGCTGTTCCTGTACACTCAGATGCTACGATGGTTCAGAGAAATCTCAAACCAATGCAAAGAAATATATGTAATTTTATGTAGTTATACGTTGTATTGTTCTGACTTTATTCAGGTTGAAATAAAAAGCATTGGGAAAATCTACAAGATAAGAATTGAATTTGATGGATTACCAAATGAACAATCAGAGTGGAACTTACAAAGGGTAAGATTTTTTTTAATGTTGATTTTTTTCCCGTTTTATTAATTTTTATGTGAATTAAAGGCCCATCTTTCCATAAAGCCATAGCTTCATGAGTCAATAAATGCTGACTGGGATAAGTTATTATTGCTTTGTGTTCTTAGATTGCTTTAGAGATGACAAAAACACTGACACAGTCCATCTCCTAAGAGATGGAAATACGTAAGATTATTTTGCAATTATTCCTAATTCATGAAGACACCAATTTTATTGTGTCTTTTATTGCTGGGCTCAACCAAGTTTTACTTTCTCAAAGCTTGTCTGTACTCTTCAGTGTCTGTTTTAGCTATAAATTCCAGTTCTGAAAGATTGAAAATGATGCAGCAATTATTCCATAACAACTACATGTAAGGAATGAACAAGGTTTGCTTAAGAGTAGGCTAAGCAACTTCTAATGGGCCCTACCACAGCTCACAATTATGACCATTTTCAAGGGAAAAAAAAACCTGCTAATTTTTTTCAATTGGGTGAATTAAGTCTTCTTCTCTGTTTTGTTTTAACTCTATTTTTCTCGTGTTGTTTAGGGATGCTCACCAGATTTAATTTATGAGAAATTCTTGTTAACACTGACACCCATATAAAATTTATTTCAGAACTGGGATAAATATTTGTCTTCTGTTTCTTACTTTGAATCTGTAAAGGAAACAAGTTTATTCTTTGTCATTTGAGTAATCTTAAAAAGCCTGATTTAGACAACCAGAATTAGACAGTAATAACAGATTTTTTACATTAACATAAAGCTCTCATCTGTAACTGTACCAAAATTGAATGTAAGTATAAATATTTCAGTTGCTCAAATGATTGCAGGAGTCCTACTTTCCAGCCTAGTGATTACAAAATATTTCTTTAATATTTTGTTCCAAATTTCATGGGGTAAGTCTGGGATTTCAAATACTTCTTTTCACAGAGAAAAAGAAATCATGTTGAGAGCTGTGTTTTTCTTACAAAGCAGTTAATATTTGCAATTGTTATGAATCAGCAGGGGGAGCTCTGCCAATAAATATTAGAGATTAGGAATCAGTGCTGCCAAAGTATTTCATATTAGAATAAATACATGCTTTGGTGTTAAAAGCAGTGTTCATTTTACTTGAAATAATATTTTATTGGAAAACTGAGAAAAAGGTATCTTTTGCTCTGATTTCCTAAGTGTTAGAATTTGGATATAAATACTTGTTTTCATAATTTTGTTTGCAAGGCTTATGCATATCATACGCACACTCAAAGTACAACTGCAGAAAGATAATTTTTGGCACTGCTTTCCTTTTGGTAGTCAAGGCCTACGGAAAAAACCTTTAGTAAACATTCTTGTAATTCAAGACTAATAAAAACTGTTTTCATAGAAGATAGTAATGACTTTTAGTTATAGGAAACAAGTAAGACAGCTATCAAAATGTACATAGGCAAATAGCTTGAGAATTTGAATTCTAATCATCTTCAGAGGAATATATAGAGGGTGGTGGTACACAGGTTGTCTTTTTTTCTGCTGTAAAAGAGCCAAATATAATACAAATTGATTTAAGATTTCAACATATCCTCTACTTGCCAAATTTCAGAAGGATGTAGATGATGAGTTTCATCCTGTTTTCATTTTAAAATAAAAAATGTGTCAATCTTTCCACATCTTCCAAAAGCTCACTCTGACCTAACGTCACCTATCAGATTTTCAGTCTTCAGTACTCCAGGCAGTGTTACATAGAGATGATTCACGGACAGAAGTCAGACTTGGTAATATTTCTAATGGCAAACTCACAAATTTCAGTTACAGATTTGTTTGTTGCAAAGTAGCGGCCAAAATAAATATATTTTGATACTGCGATTCGTGTTATTGTTTTCTGAGATAGAAAAAAAAGATGTACAAAACCATGTTTTGCTGTTGAGAAACATGGCACTGAAAAGAGTGTACTGAGTCATAGTTGGAATTGCTTCTTCTCCAGGTGACACTGCAACATCTAAAGAGCAAGAAAACACTGAATTTTCCAGCAAACGCACGGTTATCAAAGAATTGTGATGGCAGAGGATTTCTCTGTGAACTTCCAGTAGTGGAAGCTGGAAAACCTATCTATCCAAGTATGTGTGTACAGTTATGTATATACTAATCATCTGGTTTTCAACATTAATGGCATCTGAATTGTGGTTCTTAGCAGTCTTAAAAGCAGGTAGTTGGACTGATTTCTGGAGTATATTCCAGAAAATTAATTACAAATCAGACTTGCTGGCATTGTTATCACTAAGCTATAATAGTGAGTTAAAACTAATTGGGATTACATGTAACTTGCATTTTCTTCTTTTGGTTGCTTTTGGAAGTTGTTTTATACCATGTTTATGTCTATACCGGTGACTTGGAGCGTGCTGATACAGATCCTGCAGTTTATTTGTGCATCTATGGAAAAAGAGGAGATTCTGGTCTAAGACTTCTGCATAAAACTGGTATGCCAGTGACATTTCAGAGAAGAATGGTAAGTCTGAAATACAATTTGCTTAGCCATAAAAGCATAATTAATAAGTTATACAGGTCTTAACAGGTTCCTAATTAAAAAAAAAGATCACAGAGGTTTATCAAAATAAAGAACTAAGGAAAATAGTCTTCTACTGATCCAGGAATTACTAGAGTGAATAAAAACACAGGCAGGAAAAAGGAAAGAAAAATTATTTGAGGTCCCCATCTCAGGATGATGAGAAGAGCTGCCAATGAATTTAAAACATATCCTTTCAAGGTATGATGAGTTACAGCTGGCTCCAAATACGTGTACAGAAATTGTTCCATGATGTCAGATCTTAGTAGATCTGTTTGTTATTTATTTCTTTTAATGTCTAATAGTGTAGCTTTAATACAGGAGAGATCTGAAGTCATTTTTCTTTCGATTAATTATGTCTTAGCTCCTCCATAAATAAAATATTTTTATCAGCCTGATTTTCTGCAGTATGGTTGAAATTCAGGAGCTACTAAATTTAATGTTAACTCTGCCAGTAGCCTTCTTGTGACCTTCTATCAAGCCTGTTTCTTCCTTCGCGAGCTATTGAGGATTAACATTTGTATGTATAACCAAGAGTATCAAGCTGTTATTGGAACACTTACTTACAAAACAAAAAGCAATCTCTAAAATTCTAAGAATAGTAATAACCCACTGGGAAACTTCAAATGTATCTATACTATTTTAAAATCTATATTTTATGCCATTACTAATGCATGAGAGATAAAGTTCTATTCAAATTAAAATTCAGAATTTAAGTGGAATTTTCTGGGGGGCATTATTCTACCCAGATTGTTAGTAAATTCAGCATATTATTTATACAGTGGCTAAGAGGAATGTTTCAAAGTGCACTTTGTTATGGAAATGGGTGGATTGTTTAGAGCAACAGAACAGGGACTGGGATACATCATTTTATGGCAGAGGCAGTTGAGTGCTGACTTGAACAACTTGATTTCATCCCTGCCACAGATATTCTACATTATATTGTGCAGATCACTTAAAATAAAGCTTTGCTGAACGACCACTTTTTTTCATGCTTATCTTTTGCTGAATAACCTGTTTAGTTTTTTCTGAAGAGCCATAGCTGTAACCGAGATTCGTTCAAATAGAATTCTGCTCTGCACCTAGGAAGCTTTTTGAAATGCCAATAAATTCACCCCTCCGTTTCTCAGTTGAGCACCCAAAGCACTTTGCATTTTTGGCAGCTTTTGGCAATAAACTCTGTGATATAACCATATAGGTAAATTGAATTAATATGAAGATGGCCTTTCAAAAAAACCCACCACAGATTTAACATTTATAGAAAACTGGGGTGCTTTGGAAGAAGTTCAAAGGTGAAGTCATTGGGGAAATCAGTTCTGTTTCACTGAGCTCTTTGGGTGGTTGCTGTAAATAATGCATAGAGTCATAAAGATAATGAGGATAAACAGAAATACCGAAAAACTGCAGTCCTCCCGTGCACACGTTGAGGCAGGAATGTTTCAGAGAGAATAGCTTGTGATCATATATTACCTATACACAAGGGATAACTAATGTTACACAGGCAGTCTCAATTCTGCCATTTGCCAAGGACTGAGAACTTTATAGATATGAATTTTCCCGTGTATTTCTTTCTTTCATTTTCTTTTTACTGAGAAGAGTGATCTGGACCATTACATTCAGAGAGGGAAAGCTGTACACTTTTTACTGTGGCAGAAAATCATCAACCTGAACCTGATCAGCTTCATGCTCCTATGAAAACAATCTTTTCCAACTGTAACCACAAGACTAAATGGATAACAAGGGGAGAGTGGCATGTCAAATTTCAGTTTCCTTCAGCAGAATAAAATGTAAATAGAGGAGGTGAGATAAAAAAAGAGAAAAGGATGAGAAAGTGTGTTTCAAATAAATATCAGCAAGGGAAATAACAGCTTCAACTCATTCTTATCTAGGGAAGAGTAATGGAAATGGCAAGGTATTGAAACAATATTGAAGGGTGTGTGCAGTGTTTTGGATGATGGCTGAAAAAAACAATTTATTTGGGATTATTACTATAGCTTGACTTCAATTGTGATTTCTCATTTACTCTGATACGTCACTAAACGACATTTAACTTTTCAGATCCAAAATGTTTGGATACAGTCCAGCTGTCATTAAAACCAATGAGAATCTGTACATTGTGAGAGTTAATCAGGCTTTTAAAACATGTCGGTTTTCAGCCTGCCTTAGTAGTGGCAAATTGCAGAGTGCTGTCTCCTCTGTCCTCCAGGTCAATGTTTTTGAAGTGGAAGCTGTATCTCTTGGGAAGCTGCAGAAGGTGCTGTTGCGCTGTGAGGCCAATACCAAGCCCCAGTACTGGTACTGTGATAAAATCGTTGTCAGAGAAGCCTCCAGCAACTCAGAATATGTTTTCAATTGTGAAAGGTAGTGTTTACAATAATAATCTTAAATACTCCTCAGCATACATTACTAAAAGTGTTATGTCAGTCACTGTATTAAATGAGTTTTTTGGGGAAAGATACATTTAGATTATTTTGCAGTTTCATTAAACCCATAAACATGTGTTGTTCCAGAACAGATTGCTTCAGCTAATGTGCTGTATGGTCCATAGCAAAGGTTAAATGCTTATATAGCATTTATGTCACTAGATTGCAGAGTACAGCCTTATCAGGATCAGTGCTGTAAGTGTGACTTACCTCTCAGGAAGGAAAGATAAAGCACACAAAAAGGTTCTAAATTAAGTGTGTTTCTAAACGGGAAAGAAAACAGATTTGCTGTGCAGAAGTAGCATTCACTCTCTTTATGAACAACAGCATAGCTAGAGAGAGAAATGTGATACCCAGAATTATTTTGTGGTTGTTCCATTTAGGTTATTAAATGAGCATCTTAAAAGTCAATTGAGAAATACTGAATTTTGCATGTTTGGAGAAATATGATAATCCCACATTTAGAGTTTCCACTTTGCAGTCTATTTCATGGCTATGTGCATCATTCAAGGAAGTGTAGAGAAACAATATGACTATGCGACAAGGCACGAGAGTAAATAATATTTAATAAATAATATTTAATAAATGCAGGTTGCCTAGTTATTTTGTCTGGATTTTAATGAATTTGTTATATAACCTTGAACAGCTTCTTGCAGCTCTTGGTGTCACATCCTCAAAAACAGGAATAAAGATGCTGTGTCACCTTGGTAAAACTCTAAAACTGAGATTTTTCTTCGATCAGTAACATATTTTTTAAATAGTAGTATAAGACTGAGGATTTCTCTGGACTAGATTTGGATGCAGACCAGCTGTTGTTGCTGGCTGTAGTTGCTACCTTTCTAAAAAAATATAGGTAAAATTTCCTAATGGAAGTTCTACAAAGAAGTTAGGCCAGCTTCCTACCTCAAACACAAAAAAATCAACTGTGTGTCATATCTGTCCTCCAGTGGGTAACATGGCTTAGGAACCATGAATGGCAGACACTTTGCTGTATTAATTCTGTGGTAATTAACACCAGATGTTGATCAGCAAAAATTATTCTATGACAGACACTGCCAAAAAGAAACAAAAGTTGTGGGGGTTTTTTTCTAACTCTTCTACAAGGAAACACTGCCACTGAAAAGGGGTTAAAATAGGTCAGTGGTGGGGTGAGGCGTAGTTTCCATGTTGGCAAAATGTGAAGCTGAAAGTCTCTGCTCTATTCAAGAGGGAGGAAAGCTTTGGCTCTTCAGAAAGCTCTTTAGTTTATTAATGTTCAGCCTCACAGTTTTATTTTACATAGGTGTTTTATGATCCAGGATACGAACGAAGTGCTGTCTTTGTTCTCATTTATCCAAGGAAACATAAGCATTTATCTGTCTTGAAAATCTGATATTAGTTTCTGAACATCCAACAGCTCTTACTTAATTTCAGTTATATAGTATTTACTAGTTACTGATACCTTTTAGCATTTAGGATTGCAGAAAATGCCTGTGTGATCAGGTTATAGCAGAAGTGATAGAAATAAGTAGTTGTCTAGTAAAAAAAAAATTATTTCTTAGGGACTGGTGCTTCTATGGATTGGCCAGCTAATATTTTCAAGACTAAAAATAAGGAACCTTCAAAAGTTGCTCTGGACTAAACTTGTCCAGCTTATACTGGAATCCCAACAGGCTTCATAGGAGACTGAATGCTTTAGGTCATTCCTGGAGAGTCCATGGAAGTGCACCGAGGAAATAAAAAACAGCAGCCCAGAAGCTTGCTGCATTTTTTTTCTGTAAAAACCAACTGATCTTATACCAAACAAGAGGAAGCTAAAACTGTTGATGATCCATATTCTGAATAACAAGGTTTCAAAATTATCCATGGCCTTGAGTAACATGACTAAGAAACCTAACAAATGTTTGCCTTGATTTGTCTTTTTTCAGACTCATCTACCTGTCCCCAATTTGTAGGAGGAATAAGGAAGAGCAATGTTTGGTTCCATCTTTGTTTTTAACACTGAATGGTGATTTTAAGAAATAGTGTGATAGATACATACAAATTATACTTACTACTAAATCCATAGTACTGAAGATATATTCTGTGCCATATTCTTCTATTTAGCTATAGGAACAAGTACAGTAGTGCCACACGAGTCTCCTAATCTGATAGAGGTGAATTTTACAGTTACAAAGCTCTTATGTTTGCACAAATGAAATTCTTTGTTGAGTCAAATAATTTCTATTTTAACATCTATCAAATCTAACACTAAAATTTTAGAAGTAGAGTCCCTTTGCTGTTATATGTATTCAGTAGGAAAATCAGATGTGGATCATTCAGTTATATGGTAATGTAGTGGAGAAAAATTTGATTCCTACCTACTTTCTTATTTCTTTCTTATTCTTAGGTGGATCCCATTTATGTCCCAAGGTATAATCCAATCAGAAATTGAGCTGTACCCTCAAGGTAAGATTTATTGTAACTTTATGGAAATAAGGACAGTAATTTGTAATTTTTTGCCTCTGAAGAAATCTGGGCTGAATTTACACTGTAAATATCAAAGTAAACCATTTTGCTGCTTCCTCTTCTATGTTTCTGAGAGAACACAATTTGTGTTAAATAGTGTAATTGCTACAAGTGATAGTGAGAAAGTAAGGAGGGAATGAATGAGAAAGAGTTTTCTTGTATTGGGTAAAACACGGAAAGTCTTTTTCATCTCTTCTTTCAAACCTTTTCTTTAGTGTTAAAGGATAGATCCTCTATTAACAGATTATTTTTTTTTTTTGCAGAGTTTAAAAAAAATCAGCATCTGAAAATTCAAGAGGCAAATGGTAAATGCTGCTCTAGTTTTCTTCTTTTAATGAAGACTTTCTGTTTCAGAACTAATTGCTTTACATATTTGTTGCCATTTGTATTTATTTTAAAACATTAATTACAGCACACTATTCATACATTTTAGTAAACTCTGAGGTTCACATTTTAATTTAAACAATAAATAACTTTGTTTATGCTTTCTTTTTATTCTGTCATTTTTCTTTCCATAGTATTAATTTTCTCTGCTTGTTTGAAAAATTTTTATTCTTCTAATACTTACTGGTGATCTATCTTAATTTAATTTTTTTATAGTTAATATTTTAATACATGATTAGCTCTCCTGGGCTATATATAGTTTTGTTCTCAACATTAACTTTTTGTTTTCTGTTCTACTTGTGATTTCATATTTGTTCAGGTTGCCTCTTCTGTCCCTGCAACCAGAGCAGATTAAATTAAATTTCTTAATAACACATTAGAATTTCTCAGCTGTGAGAAGTGCTTCATGCTGTAGTTTGAACAATGATTTAGAAAGTGTTGGGAGAAAGTTTGAAAATGTTTATTCAAAATTTATTGTATCAATCAAGATATCCACAAAGACATAAATACCTTGTCTTAAACAGTGTTCCTATGGCAAGTGTTTAACAGTAAAATGTGTGCCCAGTTATTTTATAAATTATACTAGAATCCCTCTATTATAAGCTTTATTTTGAACCAAAAGTATCTCTTCTTCCTGCCTATACTTTTTTCAGAAGGCATTCATTTGTGGTCTGTTCATCACTCTTTGTGCTTCAGCTGCTCTGCACACCTTGTTTTCTCATGGCCTGCACCTGGAGATCCTCCTTTTAAATTGGTCTGGTTAGTCATTTCTGCACCTATAGCTGGGTCTCTATGCTATGTTGTTTAAGCTGTGCAAATGTCTCAATCAGAGTTAGGCAGCCAAAAGCATATGCAACAAATAACGTCTTTTTTGGGACAGTCGGTAAAATGTGGAACAGTGGGAGACTTGAAATTGCATATCCTACACCTAGAGGGAGTGCATCAATTCCTGCTTCAGTGGTTCATCTGAGATTTTGTTCACCTACTTTTTTCCCATAAGCTTTTAATTATATCTCATCTTCATTCTATATAATTTTTTTTAAACAGAATTATTTTTCTGAGAATTAGAACTTTCTAGTGTGTTGTATTGTTCTATAAAAGAAAAAAAAAAGAAATCTAGAAAGTCATCTGTGGCAAGGTACCACTTTCTGATGTCCCCAGGGAGGTACCTGGTGTTAGATTGCACCTTTTCTCCATGTATGCTAAAGGAATGTCATGTCATTACATATTTTTCTGTATTCTTTTCCACTTAATGTGTATTCCTCTTCAGCCATTAAGGAACTCTTGGTATTCTATCTCATCAGAACAACCCCAGCTTTTTATGCCAACAAGAATTACATTTTTGTAATACTGTTTCCAGCTTCCATTTGGAAGCATGCAATGCAATGAGAATTTTGGGCATCAGATTAGAAATTTTAGGATTCTTTTGCTATACCCACATTGTCTTTCAAACACAAGTCCTTTCTGTTTCCAGAAAAAAGAAAAAGACTCAAAATCAATATAAAGGAGTTCAAGCCAAAACTCTTTTTAATCATGTTTTTGGTGAAATTTGATTCCCTTTTTTACCTTCAGAGTGGTAATTGTGTGCAAAACAGTTTAGTGATACTACACTTATCCGTAGGAGGTAGAAGATGAGCTAGGTAGAATATACAGTCTCAAGAGTAGCAACTGCATCATTTTGAAGCTCCATTGCTTAATAAAAGATAGACTTTGAGGGGATAATACAAGAGAAATGGTCATCAAAAACACTCAAGGCACAATTAATCAATGAACATGTCCAAAAGAAAATAAATTTTGCCTGCTCTGAAATGAGTATTTGGTTCTGACTGATTTTTGAATTTTTAGGCAGAGTAGTGGGTCATATTTTACCCTTTGTCTGCACCACCCTTCATAAGCCTTTGTAAATGGAATTGTCCTTATTTTCCAACCAAATGGTCCAAAGGAACTTTGCCTTTAAGGAGGTTGACTTTTTTATAAACAAGCTCTTCTTCTATGGGGCAGGAAGCCCTTGCCTTATGCTCTGTGTTTCCAATTTCAGCGTATAGAGGCTTTTCACTCTTCTAATTGATGTTTATCCTTTTGTTGTCTGGCACTATGGTTCTTTTTTCAAGAAAGTGGGTCTATAGAGAAGGCTGTGAGGATTCAGATTTTCAAAGGCACAAAAGAATTTCTTACAAGTTGGAGTTTAACAACTTTTGGCAGAAATTGCATGGTTCACTTCCTGTATAGAGTTGTAGAACAGTTTGAGTTGGGAGAGATCTTTAAAGATATCTAGTACACGCCTCTGACATGGAAAAGGACATCTTCCACCAGACCAGGTTGCTCAAAGCCCCATCCAACCTGTCCTTGAACACTTCCAGAGACAGGGAACCCACAGCTTCTTTGGGCAACTTGTTCCAGTATCTTATCATCCTTGTAGTAAAAATATTTCTTCTTTAGTCTTGTCTAAACCTACCCTCTTTCAGTTTAAAACCACTTCCCCTTGTCATATAACTATATGTCCTTGTAAAAACTCTTTGCTTTTCTTTTAAGTCCTTTTAATAAAGGCTGCAATAAGCTCTGCCTGGAACCAAGCTGAACAACCTTCACAGGAGAGGTGTTCCAGCCTCCTGCTCATTTTCATGGCCCTTCTCTGGATCTGTTTCAACAGGTCCCATCCTTCTTATGTAAAGGTCCCCAGAGCTGGCTGCAGTACTCAAATGGGGTCTCATCACAGCAGAGTACAGGGGGAGAATTCCTTCCCTCAACCAGCTGGCCAGGTTTGATTGGTCGGACCAAATAAGCTTCAGCTGCTTTCTGAATTCCCAGATGTGTATTTGTGTGTGCTTAAAAATCTACCACCTTCCAAAACCAGGCATTGGTCAGACACCAAAAAACTTGGAAAACAGGAGATCAAACTTCCTGGTCCAGTTCAATCTTTGCAGGGCAAATTACTGAGTGATAATGGGGCTGGCCCAAGATAAATGTTTCTGTCAGACAACAGATTTAAATCAGGAAGGCATTACCAGACAGCTTTCTATTAATAAAACTGCAGTGTATGCTATGGCATTTATTTATAAGATGACTGTGGGCTGGTATTTCATTTGTTGTTTGTCTTGCACAGAATGAATTTAAGTTGCTAAGTGGAACTTGTTTCACACAGACAAAAGCTGCAATCAATGAGGGGCGGAGAAGTGTGCAATCCCAGCTTTTCAGATGCAGAAATGCATTTTACAATTATGAATTGTTCTTTTCTAAAATAAGATTTATATTAAGCTACTTTTGAATATTTAAATAATTTGTGTACATTGCATGCGAGCAAAGATGACATTTTAGTGTCAGGGAGCTTTATATAAAATGATTTTCTAATGAGTCCTCGTCTCGTTCAGAGTTTTCTACAAAATCTCTTTTTTTTCCATGCTGATTTCAATGTCATGCTTCCAGCCATGCAATCGGAGCTCTGTTGATGTGCCACATCAACATAAAATGAGAGGAAATTTTACTTAATTGGGATGTTTTGATATTTGTCCTGATGCATTTCTTGGTCATATGTATTGTGATAATCCAAATTCTGGATGTTGGTCTTCTTCCATGTTGAGCAACAGGGTTATCACTAGAAATTTCACTGAGCTCTGTGTTCATATTTCCAGCTTTAGAACACTGCAATCCTAGATCCTTGATCCACAACTTGCTTGAGACGAGTTTGAATGATGTAATATTTAGCCTATTTTCTGTTGCCTCTTCCTCATCACCTTTTAGGCACATTGTAGTCACAATCCTTGAGCCAAACTATGCTTTTGTTTATATCTTTCAAGTAAATTGCAACATTTAAGTACCAGTTATACAAGCATTTTGACTTTATTTTTTACTTTACAGAAGGAGACTGGAAGATTACTGTAGTCACTGGAGATTTTGAAACAGCTGGCACAACAGCAACAGTATCCCTTTACGCTTATGGAGAAAACAAAGCTTCTGGTCCTATTATTTTGGGATCTGGGAAACACCAGCTGTTTAATCCCAGCAGTGAAGATACATTTAAGGTGTAGTATAGTTGTTATGTAAACTCCAGAGAATTGAAAACATATGCAATATAGCTTTTCTCAAAACAAGATAATAGAGGTAATAAAAAGGACTCAAAGCAATATGTAAGGATCACAAGTATTTCTGAGGGAGTGGCTGACTTTTTATGATAGTTTTAAATCAGCCAATGTATTCACAACTGCATCAAGCAGACATGTCTCTCAGAATCTGCTTCATACTTGCATCTGCTTAATGTGTTAGTTTACACTAGATGTTGTTCATTTGAAGAGGTAAAAAGAATTTTCTTTATCTGGTCTTTGCATTCATGAAATAAGATAGTCTTGGTTATGGCTTGTGTTGCAAGTTCATCTTTGAAAGTGTCCACTGTAAATTCTTCCATGAACTTCCTTGGACTTCCACTGAAGCATACTATTGTGTGAACCTTTTCTTGGAGAAAGTAAGAAGGAAAGGGGGGATGGATAGGGACTAGAATAAAATCACACAGAGTATGTTAACTCGTGATTCAGACTGGTGGTGTCCTGCTTCTCCAAGCAAATGGAGAGATTTCTCTCTATTTATGAAAAAATCTCTGAGATGTCCTTCAGAAACATAACATTTCTCAGGACTTCTGCAAGATCGTATAATTCCTGCAATTTCCTCTAGTTCATGCAGTTCTTCAGTCAGGATTGTATCTGTTACGGTAGTTAAAACTATGATATGTCTTTTAGGTTGAAATAATTTATGCATAATAAACAGATGATAGAGAATCAGTGACAGATGGGACAGGAAGTATCTGTGATTTTTTAAATTTTTTTTGCTGTTTGAAGTATAAGTAAGTCCTTGCAGAAGAAAGGCAGTGGTGATCTTCCCCTTACATTTTTTAAGTAGAAAGCAACTTGGCTAAATTTACAGATAATGGTGTTTTAAGATTATCTCATATCGAAACAGGAAGGTGAAATCAGTGTTTATCTGAAAACAAAATTTAAATATTCCTTTTCAAATCATTCTGGCTGTATGATCTTCTTGGATATTTACTGAGCTGGTTAATGCTGTCTGACACCAGTTCTTAATCATTTATTCTGTTCCTTGAGGGAAGAACCAAGAACATTTGTTTGCTTGCTTTCTCTTTGGAAGAAGCAGTATATATCCCAAAGCATAATTTTTATCCTCCCAGCAACAAAGCAAGATTGACACCTGCTCCGGGAGTTCTGATGATTTCTATCCACATCAACATTTATGTTTAGGTGTGATATATTGCACCTTGGTTTTGTGCCGGATGTTTTTCTTTGGTGATATGCCATTGTACTGAGAAATACAACTTAAACCTTTTATAAAACCTAACTGTGTAATCAAACCTGTAAATTCATCTGTAACCATACCATCAGAGCTTCAAAGTTGACCAGATGTCTGTCCATCCATTGTTTCTCAAAAGCACTTAACTTTCAGTCAGTGCTGATCAATGGGGAGAGAAAGAAAAGAACAGATAAAGTGTTTTTGGTTTCCTTTTCCCACACTTTCCCTCTTAAATGTCTCAATTTAATAAGGTAGCTGAGTTTTTTGTTAATCCAAAAGAAAACTCTGTTCTCCAACTATTTCAGCACTTCATATTGCCACAGTTTTCTGTTGCAGCCCAAGGGAATGAGTCCAGCCACTTCAGAGATGGAGGGTAAAATGGCACTTCATTGGAGGGAGAACTCTGCTTAAATAGGGTAGGGAAGCCGAAGGTACTGGAAAAGTGGGTGGAACCAGGGAGGAGTTGGGGAGGAGTATGCTAATATGAACCAATGAAGATGGAAAATGGGAGGAGATAACCATAAGGGATTACTAATTAATTAGTACTGCAGTGCAGCAAATCCTAATCAATCAGGGGAAAGGGAGAAAACTGGGGTACAGAACACTGAGGGATTTTATAAAAAACTGAGGAGTAAGGGTACAATGAGGATGAAATACAACAAACATTAAACATGAACATGAATATGAAGTGTATTAACATTCCTTAGACGAATGTAAAGAAGGTGTTTTCCACAGGAGTTCCGTAGATTTCTTCACGTATTTCTATGTCCTTTTTCCACTGCTCGTAGTCAAACCTCTCCTGTACTCCCACAGTTTTCCAACATTAAGAGCATCATATAATAACATCAGTAATTCTAAAACCTGTGGAGTTGCAGAAAAATTGGATAGCACCTCTTACTTTTGATTACGCTAGTTTAATCTATTAAGTTTGGGAACCATCTTGACTAAATGGCCCTTGATTTGCAGTCTTTGTGTAGAAATTTGCTGCATATTCAAAGGCTATTTAAACTCTAGGTAACCTTTTTTTTTAAACAAAGTGTTAGCTGATGCAAGGAGCTGAGAGAGTTCAGCATAATATAATGGAAAAAAATAAAGTTCAATCATGCCTCACAAAAACAATCAAAGTACCATATTGTTTCAAAATCCCTCTGGTCAAAAATACAACCATAAGAAATGACGGAGAAATGGCCACACAAAGAGAATGAGACAAAACCATGCTGGATTGTCTGAATAAAAATCAAGAGTAGTAGTCTGAGAGAAAGTACAGTCAACTGCGTAGTAACCTAAAAATAAATAATGAATATTCAGTAAAGATAAAAAAATGAAAAAAGAAAGTTATTAAAGCTCGAGTGAATCAACTTGTGCTCCTTTATATCCACCTGAGATTTCATTGCTCATCTAGAACTCGATTTTGATGTTACTTATATTGCTGTATAAAGCCAGTGTAACTTCATTAACCTTGGCTATCTCTGATTAAGGTTTGTGTAAGTTAAATTAAAAACTGGCCAGACTCCAGTGTAATGTAGGTGGAGCCATGAAGCCTAGCCATGAATTTACAGATATTGTGTGACGGAGAGAGTTCTTGTTTCTGACTGGAGGCTTGGGTTCTAGGTTCTCAAAAGACAGTCATGTGTAAACTGCACAATATTTGCCCTTGAGGCCTAGCAATTTTTCCTACAGATGGGTATGTCAGGGATGAACAATATAGGAACATTAAAAAAACAGTGTTGAACTTTGGTGGGTTTCCCTTTCTGCTCTGCAATTGTTCCTGTGTGTTCCAAGAAACTACTTCTAGGCTACAGTTTTCTGCTTCTCTTACTATTTAGGCATAGTTTTTAGGGCATAATTTTTCTGTTGAGAGTCATTCCTCCTCCAGCAAAGGGATATCAATCTACCGTAAGTTACAGCTTTCATCACAAGTGTGATCTGTTTCCTGCATTTTCCTCTGGTGTCATCACAGTCCCTGATTACTTCTCAGTATTTCAAAAATACTGATTTTGGCAGAATGTTAAGTTGCTCAAGACATTGAAGCTTTAATTATATTGTAAATTATATTCTCTGTAGCTCTGTATTCTGCATCATCATTCTTTGAAACATGGTGAATTATCTCTTATGAGTGTACACACTGTTTGATAAAGAAATTCTTTTTATAAGTATTCTTTTAATGTTTAGTCATGCCAAATATTCCCTTCTGTGTCAAAGAGAACTAAGCAGAAGTCTGTAAGCCTATTATCTTCAGTAAAAGCCAGCTGCAATCTCTCAATTTTTATTACTTCAATACATAATAATTCCATACCTTCGGGTACAAGTTCTGCTGCTCCAGTAATAGTGAAGTCAGTAAACGCACTGACTGGTTCTGAGATCTGCTTTCAAAATACTGCTTATCTTAGTTGATAGTGGCAGGACTCAGTACTTCCTTAACAAGAATTTTTTCATGCTTTTCTTTGTGAGTTTACTTCATTATCAGCTCTGCAATCTCTTTAGGGCAGTGTTGTTCTTACCAATCTCGACACATTGTCCAGTTTATCTTAAATAATACTATATTAAACTACTAGAAAGTCTGGAATTTTTTCCTAACAGATTTTCAAAATCTTTGCTTTAACCTTATTTTTTATTTTGTAGTTGGTGGCTGTCTTTCTAAGGAAGGTAGTTGTTCCATGTTTGCAAGTACAGAACATGGAGTATGCATTATATTTTAGGAGCATTGGAAACTGTAATCTGACCCTGATGGGAATTTTGCTGCATGAACCCATTTCTCTAATTTGTAAAGACAATGCCACATCCAGTCACATGATTTAAAGTTTCCTCATCTGTATAAATAATCCTTTAAACACTGCTATGCTCTATCAGGGCAAATACCAGAAAATAATATGGGTACATGAAAAGCAGGTCTCCTCCTAATACTTGCAGAGGTACTTGATCATAAAAATTAATAAACAGTGTTCCTGTGATAAGATTGTTAAAGCTCTAAAACCAGCCTTTTTCTTTCCAGTTAAATGTGCTTTGTTTGTAAAGAATTGTGTTCATCAGGTGCACCTTAGGCTGTACTGCATTATATGAAGGTGGTACACTTAGAAGTTTATCTGTCGTTTTTCATTTTGGTTTCCTCCTGTTTAAATACAATCATAAGTGATTTTAAATAACCTATACACGAATAATTAAAACTCCTTTCTTTAGAGTCAACCCTATAGACTCTAAGAATCTGTTGTGTTTCATTGCATGTCTTTCATTCCTCTACCCTGGATTTGTAGTTATTCATTCATGAGTCAAAACTGAGATCTCTAAAGTAAAATGAGAAGCAGTGAGGAGAAAACTAAATGTTGTAAAAATAGGTTGAAACAAATCCATTTTCATGCTTTTCCTCCTATTGTTTGAATAAAAGAGCCTGAAATGAGCTCAGTGAGAATCCTTCCAAACTGGGAAGATTGCAGAAGTTAACACAAGCACTGATGTAGCTATCCACTCTCTTAACCATGAGACTGACGATGTCTAAAAGCTGGGCATAGCTTGTGTCCTGCTATTTTCCAGCTGTCCCTGTTTGCCATAACAACCATTTAGGTCCAGAAACAGTGGAATAAAACCTAGGGAAACCCAGGCTTTAGTCAGAGATGCATAAGGCAGCACAAAACAATCATACTCATAGCTTTAACTCGACTTGAAACTGTCTGTGAAATGCATATGATGAGAAGATGAACCTCATTCCTTACTGAGATAAAAAGAAGTATGT